ACTTGAATGTAATCAGGATGTATTCGCACTGCTTTCCCCAGCTTGTTGACTAGGATGTGTTCGCACTGCTTTCCCAAGTTGTCTTGTTACAACTGATTGCTATAAGGATGTTGACTCCAAGAACTTGTTATCGTTCTGCAATTCAACCACTAGTTAACAAGTTGCATTGTGAGTGACAATCTGGTATCAACTTGACAAACTAACAACATTATGACACAACTTCTTATTGACAAGCCTGTTGCGAACACATCTTGTTGACAAGTTTTCCGTTTTTTTTGCGTGTGTAGCACGCGGGATTCTGTGAGGATTAACAATATATCGAGCCACCTTGACAAATGACAATATTGCATGAAACAGTTTATATATAACCTTATAAACAATATGAATTTATTAACACAATTAGAATTATTATTTAGGCCCAGATTACATGAGGCAATTTTCTTGCAATTTCCACCGTTATCTCACAGGCTTTGTAAGAAAAAAGTCAGTGTTCAGAATTTCATCTGTGTATATAATTACAGTTACGTCAGGCGTAGAGTGTAAAAACAGTTTCTGGTCAGTGCGCATCATTTTAAACGGTTAGAACTTCCTCTAACTTCCTCTTGCATGGATATTTTCGATCTTTCGTGTCAAAACATTCAGGAATGTGATTACAGGAATGGACGTACCATGACAGCGGATGGGAGGACCACCTAACCGTATGAGTGGGGAATGGCGGGGTCAGGAAATGTGGGAATAGGCTAACCAAAGAAAAAAATGTATAAACAAAGCAGACACGTGGAAACGGACTGTATCGCATCTTTAATATTTTGTAAAGAAATATGCATGTGTGTGGATTAAGATATCAATAACCTTGAGGATAGGGTAATAGGCGAACTCATTTAACGCGGCAGCTCTCGAAATAATCTGTGACCGCTGTCTTGGGAAATGGCGAACCATGCAGGACCAAGATCGCATTCTTAAATAAAGTTTGGTCAAGACAATACTGTAATTAATGTCTAGGCCTGACTAAGAGGCTGAAATGTATTGGTACCATTTTCAGTGTCTGTTCTTTATTCTCAAAATAGGTCAAAATATGGGTAAAATTATCCCATATTTATTCACGACATAGCACGTACAACTGGGAATTTTAGGTATATTGGTATTCAGAACCAGTATAATTGTGTTTATTAATATCTTGGTACCCTTTGGCCAATGGCAAGCCTTTTCTCTGTCACTGACCTATCTATCTATTATAAAAATGTCTATAAATATCAAAACTAATTAAATTGTACACAAAACCACAAAGGTATTTTCCAATGAACTTAACTAGTTTTACACACATATTTCTTTTAAAAATCTTCATTAGTAATATTACAATTCAGAGACAAATGGTACCCAGCATCATATATTGTCATATTTAATTATTAGATATGTTAATTATTAAGAATTCAATGCCAATATGCTATAATAATATATATGTGTGCCAACAAAGTGAAACACCAAAAGGTTATTTTCTATTTTTCTTTTATTTCTCCCAATTCCCTGCTTCCCCTATTCCCCCAGTTTCTTCGGCTAGCCTATTCCCAATTTTTCCACTCCCCGGTTCTGCCATTCTACATTGTATATGGTTATGTGGTTCTCCCACTCCACTGTTGTGGCACTCCCAATTCTCGTTTCTTATTCTCGTTCCCCACTCCCCGTATCCTCACTCCCAACTTCTCAAACTCCCGTTTGCCCAACTACGGCTCCGTTCCCTATTTTCTATTTCCTCGTTCCCCCATCTCCCGGTCTCCCACTTCCCTGATTCCCTATTTTAAAGAGAGCCTGTACAGCTAGTCTATTTGTAAATTTTACTCGTCTGTAGTCGTTTGTAGTCGTCTGTTACCCGTCTGTACGTTACTCGTCTGTCACTTGGGTGTTGTTTTAGAATAGATCGTAATAGCCATAGGAATGTAGTCGCATTCCCGAATGTTTTGACGTGAAAACAGGACATGTTTTTCGGGCGAGAGGACGCGTCCGCAGTTTTGGTAATAATTGAACATTTAATCTAATTTTAAAGTAGACTTAAGCCGCGGGTTAAGGCGCCACTTATCCCGTCACGTGTGTGACCGAAATGTTTATCACAACCAAAAGATCATGGCATATGTTTACATAATATTGTTTGCATTATTATAAGCACTATTCCCAAAGTATAATCCCGCATTGGGTGTCTTAGATTAACTAATGTTAATCTTTGATGTAGCGCTCTATATAGCCAAGTAAACTTGAACTTCCTCTAAGTTCCACCTCTATTATCCGAACTGCTTCGTCAAAATCACTTGGAGCTTTTCTTTTCCGGCATCCTCTTGCTCTTAGAATTCTTTCAAGCTGCCTAAGACTCAACGGGAAACCATGGACATGGACATTGGTAAGAAAACCAAGAATTTCAACAGCCTTTAGTCCTAACTTTTGATGTGCATACGCATAAGAACGCAACGTTTAGTTCTTCTTATGCTTACGCACATCAAAGGTTCCGCTTGCTTATGCTTATGCTTATGTCTCAAGTGAGGAAAAAAGGCACCCAATACGGGATTATAATTTGGGAATACTGCTTCTACTGTGGATAATGCAAACAACATTATGTTGTAAACATATACGTACCATGATCTTTTGGTTGTGATAAACATTTCGGTCATGTGAGTAAACACATGACGAGATAAGTGGCGCCTTAACCCGCGGCTTACTACTGTAAGTGGCGCCTTAACTCGAGCCATAAGTGGCGGCATAACTGAAAGTGCGCGGCTCAAAATTGGAAGTACGGCTGATAAGTAGCGTGATAATTCAGAGCGCGGCTGGAAAAAAGAGAGAGATATGGCCCTTATGAGCCACCGTATAAAAAAGCCCTTGCTTAACTATTAAAAAAAGGAAGTAGAAAAAGCCGCGTGGCGGCGCCATTTCTAGACAAACCCACTGACCAGAAACAGAATATTTTTCAGTCACGCCATAATATAAACTAAAGGTCCATTCAAAGCAGTCCAACATGTTGGTCCAACATTATTCTACATTGTTGTATGCAACATGTTGTTTCTTATTGAACACTATGTTTTATAATGTTGGCTGCATGATGTTGGATAAGGTTTGACTTTATTCAAAATTTTCATCCCTTGGCAACTGGCCTTGGCCTAGTCCCGTGTAATTGGACCTAAATGCTTTTAAGTTTTAACTAATTTTAACTTTATAAAACTAATTTACAGTAATAGTTTTAATTGACCACAAATCTTTGTGGAAAAAATATTCACACACAACTGAAATAACCATGTAGTAATTTAGAAACAAACAAACCGAGATCTTTGGAAGTATTTATAATATTTTTCAAAATAGTTTCATAACTGTGGACAAGAACTGTCGTACAAAATGAAGACACTTAGTTTCATTACTCATGCTCGTTACAGACCTGGAAAAAGTGCTTAATGTTCCACTGATCATAAATTTACATTGTTTGAAAACGTCCTATGATTCCTTAAGAGTCTCTCAAAAAGTATGTGAAAAATTCAAAATGTTCCTCATTCTTGTTGTTAGATCCGAGATCCCTGTTTTTCCAGGATTGGTTTGCTAGACAAATCTCCTGAAGTTGGAGAGTTTTTTCACCTGTTTTGTGACAAACTCCATTTTGATATTTTTACATCCACTAAATAAAATTGTCTGGTTATTTCATTTGTGTGTAAAATAATTTACAACAACCTAACATAACTTTAGGGGGATAATAAGGCTGATTATGCATTGATAATTTTCAGTCTAAGCTAACGTAGATTGAAAAAACGTGCGTTTACCGTAGAGTAAAAAACCATGAAAACGGCATTTCAACATGAGTAGTTAGTTCATATGTAGTAATTCACACTTTTTAACCATACTTCAGCAGCCAGGCCTAAAGTTACCCATGTAGTGTTTTTTACCAAGTGTATCCGCCGGTATTGTCATCATTGGCCAATGGTGTATGTTTAACAACATGAAGATTTGCCATCAATCTTTTCTGTTCTTCTAACAAACGACTGATCTTAATACTTCTGTTACTCATACTCATTAATAATTCTTCTGCATCCTTGTTGTCAAGGTCATCGTCATCAACATTTACTACATCTGCATTAGATGATGCATCATCATCTGTCTCACTGGGATCTGTTTCACTTTCATAGTCAGAATTGTCGCTCTCTTCCATCTTTTCTGGGCGGTTTGAAGCTTTATAATGGTTGTTTACCATTTCAGTCGACGAACACCTAGATTTCTCCAAACTTTTATTATTGTAACAAGATTGATTACCCTCTATATCATTGACCTCGACCTTTGTACTTTCACGTGGCAAAGATTTTCCCATGTCTTTGTCTTTCGAATCCCATCTATTCTTAAATTTCGCTTCGCTGTTTGTTATATTGGGGTAAGGCTGATAGCGCTGAACGTCTGAATTACATTTCGAAACACTTGCACCTTTATTGCTGTATTCACCATTTACCGTTGTTGTTGCTGCAGTGCAATTTGTCTTCCACTGTTTGTTGTAAAGTGTACTCACGGGATACTGTACTAGAAACGACTGTCTCTCAGAACCTAAATGTAAATGAATAGCAAACAAAACCATGGAATTAAAACACGCGAAGGATTACTATGAGTCACCCAAGGAGTGAATATTTCAATCTACTGACTGTACCCACTGATCTAGAAATGACTGTACCTGGACGTTCGTGAAGCCTAAGATTACGTAATAAAATTGCTGCACCATGCAACCAAAACCAATTTCAAAAATACGTCATCGTTGTATCATTTGATTGGACGAAACGTTTTCTCTTTGTTTTATATAAGTAAAACACTCTTTGTTTTTCAACAAGTAATAATTGTCCAAAAATACGGATTCAAATCGTAAATTTTAAATAGAGAAACTAGGATGTGGAATTAAGCTTAGCTTTCCACTAATATGTAAATTATCATAATGCAAACTCTTGGTTGTGACGTCATTGAATTACACATTACAAAATATGGCGGGTGGTATTATATGAACAGCTCTCAGATTTCATTTACATTAAAACGTAGTACCAATTACTTACCATGGGTAGATTTGGCAGTCACTTTATATGATTGTGCTTGCGAAGACTTTGCTTTTGTGGATTGTGCCATTGAAGTTTTTGCCATGCTGGTAGACTGTGTCATTCTTGCCTGTGTCATTGACGTTTGTTCCACTCTGGGCCTCAGCATTGAGATTTTGGTCAATTGGACTATTGGCATTAAAGTTCGTTTCATGTTAGGCTGAGGCATTGATGTTTTTCCCATTCTTGGCTGAGACATTGATGTGTTTACCACGTTAGGATGTTTAGTTGGAGGTTGTGACGTAGTAGGCTGTGACATTGAAGTTTTTGTTTTTCTAGGATATGTACTTGAAGGTTGTTGAGACTGAGACACTGAAGTTTGTTCCTGTTTAGTTAGTGCTATCGACGTTTGTGTCATTGTAGCTTGTTCCACTGTTGGTTGTGCAATTGACGACTGTGCTAAGCTAGGCTGTTTAGTTTGAGACATACTACATTGTTCCATTGAGGTTTTTGTCATTCCAGGATATGCAGTAGAAGGTTGTGACGTACTAGGCAGTCTCATTCTGGGCATCAAAGGCTGTGCCATTGAGGTTTGAGCTATGGAAGACTGCGCGGTTCTAGGCTGCATCATAGAAGGTTGTGCTACACTAGACTGTGCCAATGATGATTGTGTCATTCTAGGTTCTGTCATCAAAACATCTCCAATTACAGGCTGCGCCACTGACATTTTGGCTGTGCTAGAGTGTGCTATTGACGTTTGTGTCTTTGAATTAGGCTGGGTAAATGACGTTTGTCCACTTACAGGCTGTGAAATTGGAGCTTCTTCCAGTCTAGGCTGTGACATTGAAATTTGTGGCTGTACCATTGATTTTTTCGGCATTATAGGCTGAGACATTGAAGTTTGTGTCATTCTAGACAGTGGAGGTTTTGTCAGTGAAGTGTATGACTGTATCATTGGCCTTGGATGCTGGGACATTGAGGTGTGTGTCACGCTGGGCTGTATCATGGAAACTATTGAGCTTTGTGGCTGGTTCATTGGGGTTTGTGTCATTCTGGTATGTATAGTTGATGTTTGCTCTATTCTAGGCTGAGCCGCTGATATTTGTGCCATTCTAACTTGTACCATTCTGGACTGCACAGTTGAGATTTGTTCCATTCTGGGTTGAGCGATTGAAGGTTGTGTCATCCTAGGCTGTCGTCCCATAGATGTTTGTGGCTGGCTAGGCTGTTCCCTTGAAGATTGTGGCATTCTAGGCTGTTGTGCTATTGAGGTTTGTGTTATTTTTGGCTGTGGTTTTGGAATTTCCGACTGCGCCATTGAACACTGCGTGATTTTAGGCTGTACCATAGACGATTGTTCAATGTTAGACTGTACCATGGAAATTTGTGGTTGGCAAGGCTGTGCCAATGAAAGTTGTGGTATTCTTGGCTGCGCGTTTGAGATTTGTTCCATTCTGGATTGTGCCATTGATGTTTGTGGCTGGCTAGGCTGTACCATCTGTGAAGAGCTCGCAGAATTCGTAATCTTTGTCGAATCATCATATCGATAAGATGGTGGTGAATTTCTATCCCAGTCTTGTGCCGTGTATCTTGGACAACGAGGCCCCGTGTAATATACGGGCGGTCTATAGTAACCCATATTATCTGATTGAACACGTTGAGGAGGATATGAAAAGTTAGGTTGACTGTAGTTATTTACCCCAGGATAATTACCTCTTGGCGGAGGTTGATAATAGTATGGTGCACGATATGGAGGTCTATAATGCCTCGGATAACCATGGTTAGCCTGAAACATACTGTCTTTATTGGGTGAATATGATAAATATTCTTCCGTCCTTGCATCAGCCTAAATAGTATTTAAAATAGTGTTGATGATGGCATTCATAATAGCAGTAAAATGTGTAACAAAATATTATATATTTACATTATACGGGGGCAAACCCAGCAAATGCAAATAACCCATTAGCACAACCTCGTTCCCAGGGTCTTTAGGAAAGACCCTGGTATCGGCTGGTCACGTGCCTCGTCCAAAATTGATCGCCCGAGGGGGTGTGGTGATAGTATCAAATTACAAACAGTTAAAAACAAAAATTTTGCGAACTATTACCACAAAAATTTTGCGAACTATTACCAGTAAGTTCAAAATACTTACTAATTTTTGTTTATTTTATTTGCTTTGAATTTTAATACAAGAACATTCTTACATTTTTACCAACAGTCAAGTCAAGAAACCAAGCAAATCGTTACTCGCAGTGCTCTCTCGTGTTATTATTATTCAGCGCGGTTTTATAACAAACGTTTATGGGCTTTTCACAGTGTATGGGCTTTTCACATATGTAATGTTTTTGAAACACGCATTAGATTTGTCCGTCTTGTTTATAAGATTTTTAAAATAAACAGTATTGTATTGTATTGTATTGTATTGTCTAGGACTAGAGAGTAGAACCCAATATCAGCAAATGTAAACATTTGATACTAGCCAAACAGAGAAATGTCTGTCAGTGATTTATCTTTAAAATTTTGGATTTAGTACATAATTCGTA